AGCCATTACGCTAACTGCTGGTTCCCACATAATGTAATATTCTTTACTGAAGATGATAAATATGGTAATTTCTTTTGATTATCACACACTGCATGCATGGTTTGAAAAATCCCACAAAGATGTGCGATCAAATGTAAAGAAGAAAGTATAATATACTTAAAAATGAGTTTATTTTGGTGCAAAAAAAATTCATGTCTGGTTTTTTGTTTTTAAATTTTTTTCTTCCTTCATGATAGAGCATGTGTACATGCATATGTGAGAGAGAGAGGTGAGCACTCATCACAGGGTCTGGTCACACCACAGTTCCCTCCTCTAGTCTTCTAGCCCATTGGATCTTGGGCACCTGTGCCCATGCCCAGCATGTTTCAGATGGACTGAACCAGGGATTCCAGCTGCACTTGCCCTGCGGCATCCGGCTTCTCTTGAGGAGCTGGCCCCATAGTGTTTTCATTATGTGCATTTTCCATGAACTTTCTGAGGAATCTTCATACATATTAACTATATAATTATGTAATTATAGTTACAAAAAGACATTTATTTTAACCTGTAATGAATTTATTATTCTAATTTTTAAATAAATCAGTAAGCATATTATTTTTCAGTTTTGATTTTTTAATATGATAAATATTCATAGTTATAATCATAGAAATGGAATAAAATATACTGGGGATTCTCAGTACATTTTAAGAGCATTCAGTGGTCATGAGACCAAAAACCGTGAGAACCACTGCTCTAAGAAAGACTCTTAGATCAATGATTCTTAATCAGGAACACTTCTGTCCCCAGGGGACATATGACAATACCTGAAGATATTTTTGGTTATTACAACTGGAGATGGTTAAGGGGCGTGCTCACTGGCATTTAAGTAGTTATCTGCCAGGAATACTGCTAACCTGCCCCTTAGCCCTACCTAAAAATAATTATCTGGTCAAAAATGACAATAGTGGAGAAATTTTTAAAAAGCCCTGCTCTGGGGCCAGCCGGTAACATGGTGGTTAAGGCAGCTGGATTCCACAGGGCTGACTGCACAGTTCAAGTCCCTGGACCCAGTCCAGTGGTTTGAGAAACATGCTGAGGGGAGTAACCTTGCTCCAGATCTATAGTAAGAAAGCAAATCGACACCTAGAAATAACAAAATAGCGGATGCTGCCCTCTACTGGCAAAACACAGCAGCACAGAATCTCCACCAAAAATCCCCTTAATTCACAATGCTGAAAAAATATGTAAACTTCCCCAGCAAGGAATTTCCTTATATAACTAGGATGCACCTTATATCCCTGCACATCTTAGATAAATGTGACCACGGGGGCACCGGCCATTTCAGCTCTGACAGAAGCACACACAAACGTCTCCTCCGAGGTGTCTCCAGCCAGGATTGAGAAATGGCAAAGGTAAGACAGAAAACGCTAACATAGCCAACAGAACTCCACACTAGAACTACATGAAACTACTCGAGTCATGTTTTAAAGTTATGAAATCTGGCCAAAGGCTCTTTTGTCCTACATCATATGAATACTTTCAGTTCTGTCACAAGCTGATAAGAATACTGACCTCTGCGTTGATTTTCTGCAGGGCGTGCAGACAGATAATCAACTGAACAAATAACCATGTCACTGTTTGTTTCACTTGGGTTGGCAAATACTTGCAGAATCCTAAAAAGCTCAGTGCAATTTCTTTTTTTCTTTTCTTTCTTTTTTTTTAGAGAGTGATTTTTGCTGTAGGGTGCATTTGCTCACCAGAGAGACAGAGAGACAGAAAGTGAGAAAGCTCCCCCCAGGGACAATGGCCAGCCTGTAATGCCTTTCCTCCATTCTCCTTTTGGGATCTTGGGCGCGCGCGCGCGCACACACACACGCCCACCAGGTCCCAGACTCAATCAGCTACATAGGAGTCTAGCAAGGTAACCATCATGCCATCTGCTGGTCCCTCTCAGTGCAATTTCAAGTCTACCCAACTTGAGGTTTTGCTTCACTAACTCATGAGGCATTTGCCATTTTGATCTTGAGTCTTATGGAACTTGGGCTAGCCGCAGAGCTCAGTGGTTAAGGGAGCCAGATCGCACACGGCCACCCATTGTTTGAATCTCAGTCCTAGATGGCTTGAAAATCATGCCAGGTGTGTGTATGTGCATGCCAAAAATACGGATGGGAAAGAGGAAAGGAGGAAAAAGGACTGCAGCAAACCAAGCTGACGCCACAATCCCTTCTCCTCCATTCTCCTCTCGGGATCTTGGGCACGCACGCACGCACATGCGCCCGGCATGAGTTTTAAGCCACCAGGTCCAGGACGCGAACCGCGGTTGACTATGTGGGAGTCCAGCGACATAGCCATTACGCTAACTGCTGGTTCCCACATAATGTAATATTCTTTACTGAAGATGATAAATATGGTAATTTCTTTTGATTATCACACACTGCATGCATGGTTTGAAAAATCCCACAAAGATGTGCGATCAAATGTAAAGAAGAAAGTATAATATACTTAAAAATGAGTTTATTTTGGTGCAAAAAAAATTCATGTCTGGTTTTTTGTTTTTAAATTTTTTTCTTCCTTCATGATAGAGCATGTGTACATGCATATGTGAGAGAGAGAGGTGAGCACTCATCACAGGGTCTGGTCACACCACAGTTCCCTCCTCTAGTCTTCTAGCCCATTGGATCTTGGGCACCTGTGCCCATGCCCAGCATGTTTCAGATGGACTGAACCAGGGATTCCAGCTGCACTTGCCCTGCGGCATCCGGCTTCTCTTGAGGAGCTGGCCCCATAGTGTTTTCATTATGTGCATTTTCCATGAACTTTCTGAGGAATCTTCATACATATTAACTATATAATTATGTAATTATAGTTACAAAAAGACATTTATTTTAACCTGTAATGAATTTATTATTCTAATTTTTAAATAAATCAGTAAGCATATTATTTTTCAGTTTTGATTTTTTAATATGATAAATATTCATAGTTATAATCATAGAAATGGAATAAAATATACTGGGGATTCTCAGTACATTTTAAGAGCATTCAGTGGTCATGAGACCAAAAACCGTGAGAACCACTGCTCTAAGAAAGACTCTTAGATCAATGATTCTTAATCAGGAACACTTCTGTCCCCAGGGGACATATGACAATACCTGAAGATATTTTTGGTTATTACAACTGGAGATGGTTAAGGGGCGTGCTCACTGGCATTTAAGTAGTTATCTGCCAGGAATACTGCTAACCTGCCCCTTAGCCCTACCTAAAAATAATTATCTGGTCAAAAATGACAATAGTGGAGAAATTTTTAAAAAGCCCTGCTCTGGGGCCAGCCGGTAACATGGTGGTTAAGGCAGCTGGATTCCACAGGGCTGACTGCACAGTTCAAGTCCCTGGACCCAGTCCAGTGGTTTGAGAAACATGCTGAGGGGAGTAACCTTGCTCCAGATCTATAGTAAGAAAGCAAATCGACACCTAGAAATAACAAAATAGCGGATGCTGCCCTCTACTGGCAAAACACAGCAGCACAGAATCTCCACCAAAAATCCCCTTAATTCACAATGCTGAAAAAATATGTAAACTTCCCCAGCAAGGAATTTCCTTATATAACTAGGATGCACCTTATATCCCTGCACATCTTAGATAAATGTGACCACGGGGGCACCGGCCATTTCAGCTCTGACAGAAGCACACACAAACGTCTCCTCCGAGGTGTCTCCAGCCAGGATTGAGAAATGGCAAAGGTAAGACAGAAAACGCTAACATAGCCAACAGAACTCCACACTAGAACTACATGAAACTACTCGAGTCATGTTTTAAAGTTATGAAATCTGGCCAAAGGCTCTTTTGTCCTACATCATATGAATACTTTCAGTTCTGTCACAAGCTGATAAGAATACTGACCTCTGCGTTGATTTTCTGCAGGGCGTGCAGACAGATAATCAACTGAACAAATAACCATGTCACTGTTTGTTTCACTTGGGTTGGCAAATACTTGCAGAATCCTAAAAAGCTCAGTGCAATTTCTTTTTTTCTTTTCTTTCTTTTTTTTTAGAGAGTGATTTTTGCTGTAGGGTGCATTTGCTCACCAGAGAGACAGAGAGACAGAAAGTGAGAAAGCTCCCCCCAGGGACAATGGCCACACTGTAATGCCTTTCCTCCATTCTCCTTTTGGGATCTTGGGCGCGCGCGCGCGCACACACACACGCCCACCAGGTCCCAGACTCAATCAGCTACATAGGAGTCTAGCAAGGTAACCATCATGCCATCTGCTGGTCCCTCTCAGTGCAATTTCAAGTCTACCCAACTTGAGGTTTTGCTTCACTAACTCATGAGGCATTTGCCATTTTGATCTTGAGTCTTATGGAACTTGGGCTAGCCGCAGAGCTCAGTGGTTAAGGGAGCCAGATCGCACACGGCCACCCATTGTTTGAATCTCAGTCCTAGATGGCTTGAAAATCATGCCAGGTGTGTGTATGTGCATGCCAAAAATACGGATGGGAAAGAGGAAAGGAGGAAAAAGGACTGCAGCAAACCAAGCTGTACTGAGGCACAGGGGGTGGTTTGTTTTGTTTTGTTTTGTTTTTTTCTCTCACACTCTCTCTCTGGTGAGTACATGTAACCTCTGGCAATTAAAAAAATAATAAAAGTTAAAAAAAAAGTTATCTCAAACTGGAATGGGATTCAGTGGGGGGCAGTTTGTGTTCGTTTTTGCCATAGGGATTGTACTCTCCAGAGAGGAAGGGAGGGAAAGTGAGAAGTAACCACCCGGTGCGAGAGAGTGTGTGTGTGTGTGTGTGTGTGTGTGTGTGTGTGTGTGTGTGTGCCCGCCCAGCACGACTCCCAAGCTGTCAGGTCCCAGACTCAAACAGCAGGCGGCCATGTGGGATTCCAGGGCCTCCACCACCATGCCACCTGCTGGCCCCTGGGACTGAAGGAAGTGTTTTCTTTCTCCCATAAGCCCAGCATGATGCTTTCCCTTAATAATGTTATGGATTTTGCAAGCCAGAGCACTCTCATCTACTTACTCATGGGTGTTGGGGTCACAGTAGGCTCTCTCAATGTTCTCCATGGACGGGATGTCCGTCCAGGTGTTTGCAATTAGTATCTGCCACCGGTAGGGCAAGTGGAAGTGGATTTTGCTGCAACCACCTGCAAAGACAGAGAAGAGGTCTCAGGGCCCATTGAGCCAATGGTTCTAAGCAATTCAACCACGTTCGCTGTTGACTCTTCCCATCTGGGTCTGCCTTTCCTGGCTCGCCAGACACTTCTGCCCACACATTTGCTCATGCCGGCCCCTGCTTGTGAGACTCGAGATCTGTTATCTGGGTTGCTTTATTACCTTAGGAGACTCATCACAAAATGAAAATTCCTCACTTCCCAGAAAATTACTTAACCCAAAGGGAAATTAGTAACCCTTTCTGCACCCCATAGTGTATATATTAAGACAAAATGTTCTCCAGAGTGAGCGACTGCTTTTATTTCCTTGACACCCTGGCTCACAGTTCATCCTTTCCAGAAAGATTCCCCCAGCTGATCTCCCTCCATTGTCATCTGACTTGTATTCAGTATTCCTTTTGTCTCTCCCTTAATGTCCAGTTATTGAGGACCTTACTACTTTGGGGGTTTATCATTTATGGGATGACTGATTTTATAGAGTTTTCTCATGTGTGGACGTTCCAATGCCCCATCTTAACTACAAACTCACCAAAGCCAAGACTGCATCATTACTTATGTCCCCCTGCTCAACTAGCACAGGGTGGGCCTGAGAAAGGTGGCTGATAAAGGAACTCTGTCAGAATCATGAATTAAGGCTAAAAGCCCTTCATGCGGGAATCCAGAAAGTAGTTCTTTTCTCAAAATTTGCATTATGCGATATTTACATCATTTTGAAATGTTCAAAAGGATGTGTGATTATTTTTTTTTAGAGAGAGATTTTTTGCTATAGGGTATGTGCACTTGCCCAAGAGACAGAGAGACAGAAAGTGAGAAATCACCCCCTATGGGGGATGACCATGCCACAATCCCTTCTCCATTCTCCTCTCAGGATTTTGGGCATGCACGCACACACGCCCAGTGTGAGTTTCAAGTCTCCTGGTCTAGGACCCAAAGGTCAGCCATGTGAGAGTCCAACGATGTAACCACTATGCCACCTGCTGGTCCAAGACGTGTGACTACTTTCAAAGAAAAAGGGGCAAGTGTAGACACCACAGGGAAACCCACAGAGTGTCGCTGCTCAAGACATGGCTGATCCAAGAGTACTGGGTCATTGGAAAAGTCATGACGTATTTCTCCATGTTTTTCTATGCAAAAATGTATCGTGACTATGCCAACAACTCATTACATAACCACTCATTATAGTCCAGATTTCAAAAAAGAAACAAAACACAGCAAATGACCAGTGTTGGAATGGGGGCCAGCAGGTGGCATGGTGGTTACATTGCTGGGCTCCCACATGGCCAACAGCGGTTCAAGTCCTGGACCTGGCAGCTTGAAACTAACACAGGGCATATGTATGTGCATGCCCAAAATCGTAAGAGGAGTTGGAGAAGACGGGATTGTGGCATGGCCATTCCCCTTGGAAGATAATTCTCACTTTCTGTCTCGGTCTCTCTGTTTCTTCAGCAAGTGCACAAATCCTATAAGAAAAATATCTCAAAGAAAAAAATTTAAATAACAACTGTTGGGGGACCATCAGTAGGCATAATGACTATGTTGCTGGACTCCCATGTAGTCGACTGTGGTTTGAGTCCCAAACCCGGTGGCTTAAACTCACGCCAGGTGCGTGCCCAGGATGCCGAGAGGAGAATGCAGTGTGGCCATTCCCACCCTGCCCCGGGGGGTGATTTCTCACTTTCTGTCTCTCTGTCTTTCTGGCAAGCGCACGCACCCTATAGCAAAAATCTCTCCAAAAAAAAAAAAGAATACACTTTACAAAGATAGGGACCAGCAGATGGAGTAATGGCTATGTCACTGAACTCTCATGTAGTTGACTGCAGTTCGAAGCCCAGACTGGTGACTTAAACTCACACTGGGCACGCGTGCGTGAGTGCCCAAGATCCTGAGAGGAGAATGGAGGAGAAGAGATTGTGGTGTGGCCATCCCCCCAGGGGGTGATTTCTCCCTCTCTCTCTGTCTTTCTGGAGAGTGCACACGCCCTACAGCAAATACCTCTCCAAAATAAAAAAATAAATAAATAAATCACAACCGTTGGCTAGGATATGGAGAAATTTGGACACTTACGTGCTGCTGGTGGGAGTGAAAAATAGTACAGGCACTACGGAAAAGGGTTCCTTGAAAAATAAGTGGGGCCAGCTCCCTTGCCCACCAGTTAAGGGAACCAGATCACATATGGCTGACTGGCCTTTAAATCAGCCCCAGTGGCTTGAAAAACACTCCAGGCACGGGGCCAGCTGGTGGCATGGAGGTTAAGGGGTCTGGATCCCACATGGCTGGCTGCACAGTTTGAGTCCTGGTCTCACAGGCTTGAAAATCACACAGGAACATGTGTGTGCCCAAAATCCCGAGAGAAGACTGGCCAAGAAGGAACTGTGGTACGACCGTCCTCTCTGGAGAAGGATTTCTCACGTTCCCTCTTTCTTTCTGCCTCTCTCTGGTGAGCACATGAGCCATGGCACACACACACACACACACACACATACAGACACACTCCAAACATATGTGTCCATCTGCAAAACCCCAGCAGAATGGAGAAGTAGAGGAGGACTGTGGGGCGACCACACCCTACTGAGGGGTGCTTTCTCCCTCTTCTCTGTCTGGGGAGCCCATGTGCCCTCTGGCAATTACAAAAAAATAAATAAATAAAATAAATACAAGTACTATAAGACACCAGCCATCCCCAATCAAGGCAGAACAGCCACAAGAAGTGAAAGCAGAGTTGAGCAGCTACTAGCCCAGCCATGTTCACAGCATCACCAGTCATGGTGCCCAGAAGGCGGCGGCTCAGAGAAGAGCCCGGTGTTACTCACCGCTAGGCTCACAACCCTTCTGCAGATAGTCGAGACAAATTTCCTTGGAGTCGTCCTCACCCCTCCTAGAAGGCGTGGATCTTGTGACATCAGATACGGAATCTACAAAACAAAGGACGATGCATGTTTGCTGATCTTAACGTTACAACAGAAAGTCCAGACGCTTGGTCTCTCGGTGGGAAAGAAAATCAGAAACTAGGGCCGTGTTCAAAGAGTTCCTGGGATTCGTGGATTGCTTGTGAATCTGGGTAACCCCTGCCCACCCCGCACTAAAGGACATGTCAACAAGAGTTGCGTGAGCGTTCTGCTTGTTTCTGAAATCGCAGTGAGCTAGTCTCAATAAACGCAGCGTTTAGTCCACGTGGTTCTACTGATTGGGCCTCCCCTGTCTTCCTGTGTCAGAACCACCCCTTAACCAAACCCCTGAGCTCCAGGCCCTCTAACAACCTAGGGAAACATCCGAGGAGAAACTACCAGCTCCAGCCGCAAAGCTGCAGACATGAGACACAGGGACCCCTTCACCCTTCGGTGACTTACGCTGTGTGGAGCCCGGGGTCCTCCTTGTAAGCTCCCTGATGGGGTCAACAGAGACGTGGACGGAGTTCTTGGCAGGGGCCCCCCACGCTGTTGTGCTGACTCTCGAGGACGGTGGAGAAAATGACTGTGGCAGGGGACTGACTCGTGCTGGGGCTGTGCTTTCCCCAGGCGTGGCCAGGACCGGGCTTTTCAGACCTTGACTTCCAGAATGTGACACATCTGTTTCCCCAAAGATGGCCGTTTTTAAGCTGAAACCGACGGCATCCGTTTTTTCCATGGTAGTAATGTCCTTCATAACTTGCGTAGAGACGTTTGGTGCATCCGGGACAGACGTGCTAGCCCCGATCCATCTTGGCTCTGCATTGATCAATGAAGACCTCTCCGTCTTGGCTCCGTATCGATCATTAACGCAGGCTCCTCCCGGGCGACTGTCGTCGGTCATCTTGTCAGGGCTCTGCAGATCCTGGGGAACAGTCTTTCCAGCATCCTGTCTCCTCGAGGATGGAATTTCTCTCCCAGTGCCAGTTGTGGCCTGGTATTCAGAAGATCTTGGGGCAGTTCTATCTGTGGTCACTGCAATGGCATTCTTGCTGGAAAGAGGGACAGGCTGGGTGTCTTCAGACCCACTTTTGCCCCCGGTATTTGCACGGTCTGAAAACGTGCCCGTGCTCTTTCTGGCTTCAGGTGTCTGTACAGAGCCAGGAGGGAAGCGGGCGGCAGCTTCATCCAGAGAAAACTCCCTATCTCTCCTGGTGTCTGGCTCACGTGGCCAGGACGTGGGCCCCTTCCAGGTGGAGACTTGCGGTGGGTCAGAAGCAAGGAGATCCTTGCCCTGCTTCCCGCAGAAGGAGCCCTCTGTGCTGTCATTCTTCAGGAGCTTCTGGCTCGCTCCCACCTCCCCTGTTCCTCCAGGAATCGTCGCCTTGGCCGAGGCAGAAGGCTGAGAGCTCTCCTGGCTCCCTAGACGGGTGAACTTGTGGGTGAGGTCATCCACGGACCCGTTATCCAGGGAAGCCCTGTGGCCCACTGGGTCTGGACTGCGTGTGCAGGTCCTCTCAGCATGAACGAACCCAGTTGCAAAAAATTCTCGGCTGTCCTGAAAGAATCGGTCTCTGCTCTTACTTCTCCCTCTATATGGCATGGCTCTGTGATGTGGCGGGGGAGCTAGGAAACACCAAACCAAGCCGATGATGAACATGCCGTGAACGGGACGGAAGTGCTACCATGACTCTGCCTCTCAGGCTCTCCAGCCTCACTACCCAAGTTCCATCAAGTTACCCTCCTAATCAGTGGACCCCCACCTTAAAGACGGGTGGATTTTCTGTAACAGAATCGTGACCTTCTGTTGGCTCTGCAGAGAACACCATCCATGGCCTAGAATAAGACTCGGACCCTGGTTCTCTTCTGGCTTCTCCTGTGGGACTCAGACGTAGCCCCACCCCTACCCCTATACCTCTTGGGGTGGGGGTGGGGGTCATCCACTATTCCCTAGCTCTGAGTCAACCTTCACTGCTATGGTGAGTGGGAACACAAACTAGGATAAATTAGGATGGGTTTTCTTTTCTTTTCTTTTTTAATGATTTATTTGATTTTAAATTTTTTAAGTAATTACTCATTCAATTTTATTTATTAATTTTTTTAGAGAGATTTTTGTTATAGGGCATATGTGCTCACTGGAAAGACAGAGAGAGACAGAGACAGGAAGCAAGAAATAACCTCCCCCTCTCGGGGAGATGGCCAAGCCACAAGCCCTTCTCCTCCATTCTCCTCTTGGGATTCTAGGCACACAGGCACACACACTCAGTGTGAATTTCAAGCTGCCAAGTCCAGGACTCAAACCATAGTCAGCCATGTGGGAATCCAGTAACATAATCCTTATGCCACCTGCTGGTCCCTATTATTATTTTTTAAATTGCTATTATGTCATGTACACTCACCAGAGAGACAGGAAGAGAAAGAGAGAAAGAGAGAGAGAGAGAGAAAGCAAATTGCCAGGTCCAGGACTTGAATCACAATCAGCCACGCGAGATTCCAACCTGCTGGCCCCCAGGGTGGGCTTTGTAAATGTCATTTCGGGTGTTCCCATATCGTGATATGGGTGTGCATCACAGTGTAGGGAGTCACAGGAGTGTGCAGCCCAGGTGGCACAGTCCCTAGCACACTACACTGCGGTGTTGGAAGCCACAGGCGGATGCAGGTTCAGACCCTGGGATCAGTCTAAAAGCGCTCCAGGTGCACACATGGGCGCCCGAGATTCTGAGGAGCTGGAGGCTGGGAAAAGGATCTTGGCATAGTGAGATCTCATCAGAGAGTTTCCCTATCTCTCTCTCTCGCTCATGCATGTGCGTGCACGCTATCATGAAAGAAAAAGAAAGAGAGGGAGGCAGGCAGGAGGAAAGAAAAAAAATTCACAATGCTTACACAGAAAGTGAAACTACATTCTAAAGGTTTGGTTTTAAGCCCGAAATCTTTCCAGATTTCTTCAGCTTGCTCCCCCGTGCCCAAGCTTCCTATCAAAAGTCAAACTCAGCAAGGCAGTGGCCTAGTGGGACTTGGCCTCTCTCTAGAAACCTAATGACTCACACTCCCCGGGAAGCACGGAGGAAGGGAGAGAGCCAGGAGGAAGAGGGAGTGCCTGTGTTTGCATGGCGAGCGTGTGTGTGAGGTTTACAGAGTGGGTGGGGTATGCTGGGGTGTGTGCGGAAGATGTGCGTGTCTATGTGTGAGGCACACATGCACGTGAGGTGTGCCTGTGTGTGTGTGTGTGTGTGTGTGTGTGTGTGGACTGTGCTCTCGTGTGTGGGGAAAGGGAAGAACAGAAATCCTTTTTCTTCCCAACTCAGGAGGGGGCAGCAGTAACACAGCAAAAGCAACCATGCCCTCCCTGCCAGCAAAATGGTTAACTCAGTAGATTAACTGGAAGTGACGACAAACACAGACCTCTCTCGTACGGACAGCTCCATTGCGAAACTGCAGTAGCAACCACCCTCCAGACCGCCCCTGCTCAGAAAGCACTGAGATGTGGGAGAAAGCCCTCGCTCGGAAACCAGGACACGTGAGCTCTGCTGTCTTCTAGCGGTGCAGGACCTTGGGGTGTGACTTTGTATTTACTCATCACATTATCGTTCTTCCTCCGAAAAATGATTTAAGGCTGCTTGCTACAAGTCGCTTAACATTTCTGAGCTTCAGTTTCCGTAACCCTTGAGAGAGACCCATAAACACCATACCTGCCTTTCTTCATGGTCACGCTTTGAGGAATAATAAAGAGAAACTCTGGGGTGAAAGTCCCTCGAAAATTACGAACCACTTCTCAAATACAAGGAGGTGTAACTGTTCATTACTTTATCCGGAATCTTACACTCATGTATCCTACCCGATTCGTCAAATCCACCTCTTCTACATTCACTTCAGAAAACCATGAAAAACTGAGTATTAGGAGCTGTATGTGCAGTAGTGAAATGGGAGGCTCCGAGAGGCTGGCCCACGCAGGGGGGCTGGGCTGACACACGGTCACCTTCCCGAGCGTGTGGGGCCCTCGTGTGCCGGTGACCCGGGACTGGCTGGGGCGGGGTGGGTCACAGCAACAGGACCCTGTCGGAGGTGCTGCCTCTCTGTCTCTCTCACGCATGAAACCAATCAATACACCTTTTAAAAATCATGAGTATGCGCCAGCGGGAGGCGCGGTGGTTAAGGTGGCTGGATCCCACGTGGCTGACTATGCAACTCAAGGCCCTCACCTGGTGGCTTGAAACACACACCAGGCACATGTGCATGTGTGCCCCAAATCCCAAGAGGGCAGTGAAAGAGAAGGGATAGAGAGCGGAGTGGCCACCCTCCCTCGGGCGTAATTTCTCACTGTCTCTTTCTCATTTATTCTCTCTCTCTTTCTCTCTCTGGAGAGCATGCATGCCCTATAGGAAAAACAAAAAGGAAAGAAGGAAGGAAGGAAAGAGCGAGCGTCACTTCAAACCCAGCAGCTTGAAACTCACGCCTGGTGCAAGTGCGTGCGTATCCAAAATCCTGAGAGGAGAATGAAGGGAAAGGAATTGCAGCATGGTCATACCAACCCTGCCCACACCCTAGAAGAAAAAGTGAGAACATAACAGGTGATGAAGAAGAGGTGGAGAAGCTCGAACACTGCTGGCAGAAATGAGTAACGGTCCAGCTGCTATGGAAAATGGTATGGCAGTTCCTCCAAAGATGAACACAGAATGACCATCCGAGCCAGCAATTCCACTTCTGGGTGCGAGGGACCCAGAGTTGTCAGGTTTATAGAGATAGAAAGGAGAAGGGTAACTGCAGGGGCTGGGGAGGAGTGAGAGGGAACTAGTGTGTCGTGGGCGCTGCCCGGTCTCAGCGAGGCGAGGGGAGAAGGTCCTGGCGGGGATGGCTGCATTCCAGTGTGGCTGTACTGAATGCTGCTGAGCTGGACACGCACACTGGTGAACGGCAAACTTCGTGCTGTGTATCCTTATCACGATTTAAAATATAAAAATAAAAGCTTCCTTTAAAAGAAATAGCATTGAGGACTATAAATGAAATCGTGTACAGTTTTGCATTCAGGCTGAATTTTCTGGATTTGTTGTATTGTCATAATGCAAGAGAACAGCCTGGCTTACGGAGATACATGCTGATATTCGAGCGTGCAGCGGTACAGTATCTGCACACGTCGAATGCTTTAACCACAAATGTGTTATTAGTGTGCGTGAAGATCTGTATCTACATATATGAAGAGATGAATGTCAATAACTGGTGAGGTTGATACACTTTGGCTTAAATAAACACGAGGACATACTTTGGAAGAGAAGTGTGTAGGAGAATTTATGGAGCTAGTTAGAGCCAGGCACCGGTGTGCACCTGCAGTCCCAGCTGAGAGACTGAGGCAAGAGGAGTACATGGCCGAGTCGCACCTTTAACAAAAAGAAGGCCATGTATTCAAGGGGGTCAACTTTTCTTTTTTTGCTATAGGGTGCACGTGTTAGCTGGAGACAGAGACAGTGAGAAAGGACCCTCATGGGGGATGGCCACACCACAATCCCATCTCCATTCTCCTCCTGGGATTTTGGACATGCATGTACTCACGCCCAGCATGTTTTTCAAGCTACTGGGTCTGGGACATGACCCACACAGTTGGCCATGTGGGACCCAGCTGCCTTAACTGTCATGTCATCTGCTGGCCCTGTGAATGAATCATTTTTTACATGGGATTTTTATTTACGACGTTGAGATTTCAATTTTTTTAAAGAATTATTTTACTGAACTTTAATTATTTATTTGTTTATTTATTTTAATTTGATCAGAGAGGGACAGAGAGAGAGAAGGTAAGCCACCAGGTCCAGGACTTGAACCATGGTCAGCCATGTGGGAGTCCAATGCCCTTAACCATCATGCTACCTGCCAGCCCCCAGATTTCAATTTTAATTCATGTAATATTTGTAACATATTTTTGAGGGTATAGAGTGGTTTATCAATACATGAATATAACATGTAGTGATTAATTCAGTACAATTAGTATTCTCATGAGTTTTTTAAATGAATATTATTGGAGCTTATCTAATTAATATATGCAAATAGTAGCCCTATCATATACACATTTATCTTTTTTAAATAAAATAACTACTCTGTCATTAGATTTTGATGAATTCATGTGTCAAAAAAAGGGGAGGGGTGCCTGCAGGTAGTGTGGTGGTTAAAGCACTCGACTATCACACGGCCAACCGCAGTTCAAGTCCCAGACCTAGAGGCTCGTTTTTCTCACTTTCTCTCTCTCTCTGTCTCGCTCTGGTCAAATTTTAAAAATTGGGGCCAGCAGGTGGCATGGTGGTTGAGGGCTCTGGACTCCCACATGGCTGACTGTGGTCCAAGTCCTGGACCTGGAGGCTTCTTTTCTCTTTCTGGAAATACTAAAAAATAATAATGAATAAAGTTAAATAATTTTTTTTTAAATTTTAAATGATAATATTGGGAGATGGTGTAATAGTTACATGGCTGGACTCCCATGTAGTCAACGACAGTTTGAGTCCCAGACCCAGCGGCTTAAAACTCACGCCAGGCCTGTGTACGTGTGTGCTCAAGATCCTGAGCGGAGAATGGAAGAGAAGGGACTGAGGTGTGGCCATGCCCCCTGAGGGGGGTGATGTCTCGCTTTCTGTCTCTCTGTCTGTCTCCGTCTTTCCAGCAAGTGCATGCAAAAACTATAGTAAAAGCTTCTCTTAAAAAAAAAAAAAAGAGATAATGCTAAGTAAAATAAAATAATTCTTTATCAAAAACCTGGTGAATCTAAAAGCCACTTTAATTTTTTTTTGTCTCTTGTTTTTGTGGGGCCAGGCAGTGGCGCAGCAGTAGAATGTGATGCTCTGCAAGGCAATTCCACATGCAAGGATTTCTGATTCAGACCCAGAGACCTCCCTGAGTATACCAGGCCAGCACATGCCATGTAGGGCTGGCTGAGGCTGGGGGGGGACCTGTTAGGGGCTATGAAAGAAAGATATTGTATGTATCCACTTAATATACACCGACTCTCCGCACTCTATGGTAGAGAGCGAAATTCTGAAGGACATAAAAGCAGTGAAAATAGTTAACGAGGATAAGAGAGTGTGGAATGGGGTGGGAGAAGAGAAGAGTATAGAGAAGATAGCAAGAGAACAAATGGAGAGGCAGGACGCTAGTGGGACACAGATATGGCTTATTACCTGTTGATGCTGACATGTATAATATTCTCAACTGGACAGGTCTGAGAAGTATTTCATGATGGGTAAAGTCTTTTTACAAGCAAAATGAGAAATAGTGATTGTTTAAAAAATAATTGGAATAATAATAATAATGATCGGGAAAAACAACGAAAAGATATTGGATGATGAAACGGGGATTTTAATGTCTCTGTATTGACTGACATGCATGGTATTCCTTCTGGAAAAAGAAATGTAATACAGTGTAAAGTTATATGTGATTCAATGTAATATAAACAAGATTATGATGATAATAAATAAATTTAACTCTCTGTCTGCCTTCCTCACAGGAGAAATAAGTTTTTAAAATTTTTGCCTAATAGTTAAAGAAGCTAGATCCCACGTGGCTGATTGAGATTCAAATCTCAGCCCTGGCAGCTCGAAAAACATGCCAAGCACATGTGTGCGAATGTCCAAAATCCCAACAGGATGAAGAAATGGAGGAGAAAGGATTGCAGTATACTCATGCCTCTCACTCTGTCCCTCTGTCCCTCTGTCCCTCCCGGGGCGAGCGCGTGTGCCCTCTCTGGTTAACAAAATAAAGCTTTATCAGCCAGCTTTTAAGAAAACAATGTAACCTTTGTTTCGAATCTAGGAAGAAACAGTGCTAAGTGTGAAAATCTAATTACAAAATGCATTCATACTATGCTAAATTATGTAACAAGGGCCTATGGAAATGGGCAAGTTCTGCAAGGGGAAATGAAGACAAGGGAAAGTTTTCCTTCCCTCCCATTTCTGTGTACCCGAAAGCTCTTACAACCGAGACGAGAAAACCACGTACCTCTGAACCCGGGGGGGTTCCTCCGGGAGTGCTTGCTGTTGCAGATGTCCTGGATGTTCTGGACGATGTCCGGGCTCAGTCCGTGTTCCCTCATGATGGCCAGCACCTTCCTGTCCATCAGGTTATGGGACCGGAGGCAGTTGGGGTAACCACAATTCCCTCGGGTGAAGTGTTCACAGATGTGCAGCCTTTCGCATGGTGGCGGCTGGTTACAGATCTGCTTCCGACCTTCTCCCTTGTAAGTTTTGCATATCTATAGAGGGAGAAAAAAAGAGACAAATACCTTCCCGTGTCTCCTAAACATTCATTAAGGAAAGCTCAAACACATACACATTTCTGAAGCAAGCAGAGATGACCAAAGGGAAAAAATGACACACACATTGATGGTTTTAGTGACTGGTGTTCCATTCATGACTGATTTGGGGCAGAAGAGGCCTGCAGACTAACTAAAAGATATTTATGAATTTGATAAACTATGGAAGAATCAAAATAAGATGGCTACTACAAACAGGACCCAAAGTGAGCCTTACATTTCAAAAGAATCCGAAAGAGGAAGGCTCAGGGCCTGCAGGTGGCACAGTGGTTAAGGCTGGACTCCCACAAGGTCAACCACGGTTCAGACCCAGACCCAGAAGCTTGAAACTCACGCTAGGCGCATGTGCCCAAAAATCCTGAGAGGAAAATGGAGAAGGGATTGCAGCATGGTCATACCAACCTTGCTCCCCACTCCCAGAAAAAAAAGTGAGAACATCACAGGTGATGAAGAGGATGTGGAGAAGCTTGAGCCCCCGTGGGGTGATTTCTCACTTTCAGTCTTTCTGTCTCTCTGGAGAGCACACGCACCCTACAGCAAAAAATCTCTCAAAAACAAAACAAAACAAAAGAGGAAGGCTCATCTTGAGATGTCAACTCTCTTTGCAATTTAAAAGGACATGTGGGGAACCAGCAGTTAGTGTAATGGCTATGTCACTGGACTCCCACGTAGTCGACCGCGGTTCGTGTCCCAGACCCGGTGGCTTAAAACTCACGCCGGGCGCGTGTGCGTGCGTGCCCAAGATCCCGAGAGGAGAATGGAGGAGAAGGGATTGCGGCGTGACCATCCCCCCTGGGGGGTGATTTCTCGCTTTCTGTCTCTATGTCTCTCTCTGTCTGTCTGGCGAGCGCACGCGCCCTACAGTGAAAATCTCTCCAAAAAAAAAAAGACATGTGGATCTAACCTCCAGAATTTAATCTCTGCTGGGTAGAAGTTCTAAGCAAAAATATAATTTTCATGTTTCTACCTAAATAGCTATAGTGCCATATCTAGCTCTACGGAGATGTATTTTCTTTTTTTAAAAAAATTACTTATTTTACCTCATTCATTCATTTTAATTTGATCAGAGAGAGAGAAAGAGAGAGAGAGGAAGTGAGAAAGCAAGCCACCAGTTCTGGGACTCCAACTATGGTCGCCCATGTGGGTATGTCCAGCACCTTAACCACCACGCCACCTGCCGGCCCCAGAGATGTATTTTCTACTGAAAGAAGGCAGGAGGAATATCGTCACTAAATAGACCATCTGTGTGATTTCGAGGGACCCACTTACCTATTCCCAGCCTCTGTCCCTTCTGTAACAGGAGGGAAATATTTGCTCTAAACTGGGTTGTCTGGCAGACTAAGTCACAAAATATGTGAATGTGGGGTCAGTCGGGGACATGGCGGTTAAGGCGCTGCACTCCCACATGGCCAACCAATGCAGGGAGTCCCGGCCCTGGCAGCTTGCTTTCTCACTACCCCCCACACCACCAGCCCTCATCTCTCTAGTGAGCACACATGTCCTGTAGCAAATTTCAAATAATGATAATAAATAGAATTAAATCATTATTTTGTATAAAAATACATGGAAGTGTTGTATAAAACACAGAGTAATGCAAATGTTTGGACTATTAAATGAGGAAACTAATATAGAGTAAGAAACCTGAATTTCTGATATTTCGGAGATAAAAACATTTGTACTTGTCTCAACAGACCAGATCATGGGCATGTGTACCTGGCATGTACTAGGAGGTACCAGGATGTGAACCCAGGACCTTCCCCAATTAGTCCAGGTGCATCCTCACTGCATCACCACCTGGCAAATTCCAATAAAACTCCCCACAGAAAGGAAAGCGCTGGAACCTCTGAGGTCACTAGAAACAGCCCTGAAACCAGCCGCAGAGCCTGGTGCCAACTGTGAGCTCGTTCCACTCCTGCCCCGACAGAGCCGTAACAACCCGGCCAGTCATGTTCTCCCGGCTTTCTGACACCTTACCTCGGGCAGGAAAAAAGGGTCACTTTGGACAAGCAGCACTGCTAACTCTTCCTGGTTGAGTCCAGACAGCTCATGATTTTTCAGGATTCTGAAGTTGTGTTCTGAGAGAATATCATGACTGTATTTGCATGTATTCCTAGAAGAAAACGCAGCAGGTGTCAGCGTTTCCATTTCACAGAAACAAAGAAAAGCAAATCATCCATTAAGCCTTGAGTCAGGATCAGCGCCCATATCCTTTGCTATCTAACACAAACTGGCCCTGCCTAAAGAATACACTTTACAGGGACCAGCAGTTGGCATAATGGCTATGTCACTGGACTCCCATGTAGCCAACCACAGTTCGAGTCCCAGACCTGGTGGCTTAAACTCACTCCAGGCGTGTGTGCGTGCATGCCCAAAATCCAGAGAGGAGAATGGAGGAGAAGGGACTGAGGTGTGGCCATCCCTCCTGGGGGGGTGATTTCTGTCTGTCTCTGTCTTTCTGGTGAGCACACACGCCCTACTACAAAAAAACTAAAAAAATACACACACCCTATAGCAAAACTAAAAAAAATAATAACAATAATAAGAATACACTTTACAGAGATAAATTTATGGGGGCCAGCAGGTGGCATGGTGGTTAAGGTGCTGGACATGCACAAGCTGACTGCGGTTCAAGTCTCGGACCCCGCAGCTTGAAAATTACACCAGGAATGTGTGTGTGGGTGCCTCAAATCCTGAAAGGACAATGGAGGAGAAGGGATTGCGGCATGGCCATCCCCCCACAGGGGGTTATTTCTCGCTTTCTATCTCTCTGTCTCTCTGGTGAGTGCACGTACCCTAGAGCAAAAACAAACAAACAAACAAACAAACAACAACAAAAAAAACCCAACAACTCTCCAACCAAAAAAAGAAAAAAAAAAACCCTAATAGCACCAATACTCTCATTAGACAAACACAACTTGACAGAGTTGCTCATGTCCACGTAGCAAACTCATTCCACTTTTTTATTTTTTATTTTAATGTGAGAGTGAGCAGGAGAGGGAGAGAGATAGGTAATTTTTTTCCCTAATCAACTGAATTTTATTTGTTACAAAATAAGCCATTTAACATCTTTCAGGTAAAAAAATACTAATTTGAATAAAGATCTCACAAAATGAATTAGAGTCCAATTAAAATTAGTTTGGGGGAGGGAACATAACTCCACTCAATTAAGAAAAGTGTTTGTATAGACCACAGATTAGTTTATTTTTAACACCCATCATGCCATGAATTCATAGGGAATAGGTTCCAGTAGCTCAGGCTCCTTTCCATTGGTTCTCACAAAGTGTGCTTCTCTAGGTGGAGCAGGCTGGCACTTAAGTTGAACCCAGGTACCTTTCTCTTTGGCTTCCTTCTTTTTCTGGTCATTTTCCTTCACACGTTTTAGGAAGCTATCTCTGCTCTTAGGATGCTTACTATGCTCAATACAAACATTGATTATCTTGACAAGAATCTTGCCCTTAACCTGTTTGTTCACAACAGTGCCAACAGCATGCTGGGTAACTTTGTAGACTCTCCCAGTTTTGCCATGGTGACATCTGTGGGGCATTCCTTTTTGAACAGTACCCCTTCCCTTAATGTCTACACTATCACCTTTCTTGTAGATTCGCATGTATGTTGCCAAAGGAACCACTCCATGTTTTCTAAAAGGCCTAGAGAACATATATCGGGTGCCTCCCCTCGTTCCCTTTGTGTTTATCATTTTGGTGAATTACTGGAAGATGGCAGTTTCAGTCAAAAGGAAGGACAAGATAGGTATTTTTGACAGGGTTTCATGACACTCCAATGTTCCTGCCCCAGCCTCCCAGTTAGCTTGGATTACAGACCAGCAACCAGCCTGTTTGGTTTGGCATCCCAACTCAGACCTCCCATGTGGCCCCAACCTCTCACAGAAACACCATTCCTCGTGCACCAAAGCTCCTGGGCCTCATTTCGCTTTTTCTTTTTCTTTTTTTAGTTTTTGCTTTGGAGTGCATATGCTCACAAGAGGTGGTGGGGGGAGACAGAGAGAGGAAGGGAAAGTGAGAAATCACCCCCCAGGGGAGATAGCCACCCCACAATCCCATCTGCTCCAGCCTCCTTGGCATCGCGGGCACACATACACACAGGCCTGGCATGATTTTCAAGCTGCGGGGTCCGGGACTCAAACTGCTCAGTTGGCCAGGTGGGGTTCAGGACTTTAATCTCCACACCACCTGCTGGCCCCTCACGACACTTTTTAACTTACAAATGCTACATGTGATGTCATCAAAGCCTTCAGATTCGTGGATCTAATAGTTAATAATATGATGGTGTACTAATATTTCCTGATTAGCAAAGCCATTATCAAGTCGTTGGGTAGTTCAGTAATGGCCAGATTTTTACTACATAAATATTGGGTCATCGGAAAATTTATGGCGATTTTTCTATGTGAAAACGTGTCATGACTTTTCCAACAATCTCTTAATATGACTACAATTACCTTTCTACATATAACCTTCCTTCCCTTCTATTATTTCCCCGAGTTATTCCTTTGAGAGTATTGCGTCAAATAACACAGTAATTATCTTGGCATTGTGTTTCATTTTGATCCAGTTCCCAGAGAACACACCAGCATCTGGGAACATGGCTATTTCCCGCAAAACACGTTGAGTTTTGTCACCTTTGCGGCTTCGATAGGCATGCAGTAAACTTACACTTTTATTAGATCCTGTTTTCACTGTCAGTAAGACTGAAATATTCCCAAGTGTTGGCTTGAAGCTTGTACTTCATCTTTCTTTTCTGTTTTGCTGGAGGGCATGTGGCCTTGCCGGAGAGAGGGTGGAGGTACTGAGAAAACACTCCCTATGGGGAATCGTTATAGTGCAACCCCTTCTTCGCCATCTCTTCCCTCCTTCTGAGATTTTTGACGCAAAAACATGTACACATGCACGCTTTGTGTTTCTCAAGCCCCAAGTCTGGGATCCAAACTGCAGTCCCGGGAGAGCTAGCCACCGTAACCACCCTGCCCCGGGCTGGCCCTTATTCCTTTTATCTACCATTTGCTCCTACCCTTCCATTGTTTATCTAGTGGACAGTGGATACTGACCGACAGGTTTGTCATTTTTTTTTAAGAGCTATTTAATTTTGGGGACCAGCAGATGGCGTAATGGCTATGTCGCTGGACTCCCATGTAGTAGACAGCAGTTCAAGTCCTGGACCTGATGGCTTAAACTCACACCTAAACTCACACCAGGCGTGTGTGTGCGTGCCCAAGATCTCGAGAGGAGAATGGAGGAGAAGAGACTGTGGCGTGGCCAACCCCCCGGGGGGCGTGATTTCTCACTTTCTGTGTCTCTGTCCTTCTGGTGAGAGTACGTGCCCTACAGCAAAAACCTCTCAAAAAAACAAAAAAAAAAGATTTGGGAACCAGCAGTTAGCGTAATGGCTATGTTGCTGGACTCCCACGTAGTCGACCGTGGTTCGTGTCCTGGACCCGGTGGCTTAAAACTCACACTGGGCGCGTGTGCGTGCATG